TTCCTACCCTCGCCGTCCTCAGTCGCCGGACGCCCGCCTCTTCCTGTGGCCTTGCACGACGCCGACGATGTCGACGAACCCACGCACCGCTACCTCTCACACGGGCTGATTAATCCACGCCCTCGAAACCCCTTCTCCTTCTCCACTTGTTCCAGTCGCCACGTCATCAGTCGCCGGAACCGAGAACGACGGCGAGGGGTGTTGGGTAGTGCGAGATGAGAGGAGAGATAGAAGAGAAGGAAGAGAGAGAAAGAATAACGGAATGGGAGGGAGCGAGTTGCGACGGCGACGACAGAGGAAAAAAGGAAGAAAAAAAAGACAAAAAATTGGAGATGCGGGGTATCGAACCCCGTACCTCTCGCATGCAAAGCGAGCGCTCTACCATGTGAGCTACATCCCCTTTTTGATAACGAAAGATGGCTAAATATTTATAATGCTTAATATAAATCCAAACATAACCCGCGTACGAAGAATTAATAACTAACCAGACATGATTATGGTGAACAATCATACACTCCCGTACAAGCCTAGCTACATATGAAAGCAAATTAAAAGAGTTTGGAACGGGCATATAACCATGAACAACGCGCCCTAGACAAATATGACTGCGACATTCAGCACACAGCCACAAGCAACACACTTTGAAAAAGCATGACCATGACACTCAGCACCTTTACAAAATCATAGCTTATATCATATACATCAATGGACACTCAGCCCCGTACAAATGCGTGGGGTGGAAGGAGATCCGAGCCCCGAGTCAATCCCCGATGCTCGCTAGGTTTTCCTCTTAACTTCATATTAAAATGTATAGTTTTCTTGTATAGTAGGTGTCTGAATTCTAGTGTTTAGCAGGTCTGGGAATGGCACAAACTTGGAGGTCTCCATGTATGACAAGATTGATCATTGGTTGATACTATTGGATGATGGAAGTCCCACATCGGCTAATTTAGGGAATGATCATGGATTTATAAGTGATAAATACTAACTTCATTGGGATGAGGCCTTTTGGGGAAGCCCAAAGCAAAGCCTGACTTTGCTCAAAATGGACAATATCATACTATTGTGGAGAGTCGATAGATCTTTATCTGCCTATAAGCAAACTCTTTCCCCAGACATTGCGTGGCCCAACCATCAGTCTTATAAACAATACTATTATGCACTTTCTCGAGAGCAAACCATTTTGTTTCAATTGTATTAGTACATACCTGAAAGGCTGTGAATTTGAAAGGGCTCTGAGGCTAAAGCTTTCCATCTCGGTCGAACCATCGCTCGGGTCGGAATTCCTCAGCGTCGTCACCCCATATGAACTTCATCCTACCCATTGCATATGGTTGGTATGACACCATATCTCCTTTTCTCACACGGAATCTGTCTGGTAGTATATCATCAGAAAAGCAAATTTTCGCATTCTGCCATTCGAAAACTTAACATTTTGAGTCGATTCATTCAACCGAGAAATTATGAAACTTGCCCAAAACTTGAAAGCTACGAGGCTACAAAGCTTGACTTAGCAAAAGAAATCATTACCTTAGAGGATAATCGGCCGTAGTTATATTATTAGTAGTTGCTTACGTGTGGAGAACGTTTAGAAAATTTGAATACTCGTAAGATTATGTTCTATTCACAACAACAAACAGAATTGAAAAGCATAAGTGCTTAACGTTTTTCAAAAGATCTCTCCCCTCAAGTTGTTTTTTTTTTTTAATCCATTTGTTTTGGTATATTTCGATCATGGACTATATCCAACGATTCATAGAGTTGAACATGGACCAATTAGCTTACCAGGAAAATTTTCTTCTCATTCCTCGCCTAAACACCGATACTCCAAGAGAAAAGAAACATCCCTAAGTCAAATCTCGTGTCATGTTATTTTCTCCCCTATAATATCGATAATCACTCGTTAAGCCCCATAAAAAAAAATTTACTATAACCCATCAAATTAAGCTCGGTCTGCGAAGCATATCAACAAACAAATTAAATGTGACTATCAACCCATTAAGAATGTTGTGCGCCGAAAACGGAACAAATGTACTCACAACACCAATGAACGAAATTACACAAAGAGACACCAAGATATTAACGTGGTTCAAAGAGAAGAAGTTCCTCTACATCCACGGGTAGCAACCAATCACTAATAAACTCAAGTGTTACAAGTAAATGCCTCACTCTTTTCTGCACTGCAGATGCTTGCAAAGCATGTAAATGAACCTAGCAAGGGTAACTGCTATTGTGTCCGTTCCAGCTATGACGAAGTTTAGAATAATATCTCTTAGATACGTTGGATCGGTCTTTTCCGCTTGTAGAAATCTCGACAATATGTTATCGATCCTCATCTAAATTCACATATCATAGTAAAATGTCAAGCTTCATATTTAATCGTCTAAACCCACCGTTAGTAGATATTGTTCTCTTTAGACTTTCCCTGCTGGGCTTCTCCTCAAGCTTTTAAAATGCGTCTACTAGGGATAGGGAAAGGTTTCCACACTCTTATAAAGAATGTTTCGTTCCCCTCTACGATCGATGTGGGATCCCACAATCCACCCCCTTCAGGATCCAGCGTCCTCGCTAGCACATCGTTCGGTGTCTGGCTCTGATACCATTTGTAACAGGTCAAGCCCACTGCTAGTAAATATTACCTCTTTGGGCTTTCCTTTCCGGACTACCCCTCAAGGTTTTAAAACGTGTCTACTAAGGAGATGTTTCCACACCCTTAAGGAGATGTCTCCCCCTTTAATCACCTTAATCGAGGCTCGACTCCTTTTTCTTTTGGAGTTGACTAATCCAATAATTAACTCCCTAATGAGTACTACATGAACACGATGTGATTTAGACTTCCACAGACGGCCTCATGCCAATGGAGAGAAAGTACTTTCATCATCCAACACCTCCCCTCTAACAAATTACGCCTCCCCCCCCCCCCCCCCCCCCCCCCCC